GGGCGTCACTGGGGAAGGAAGGCTGCGATGTTGGCCACGGTGGGAATCAGGGATCTCTCAGGCCCCAGCTCAGTGTCTGCCACAGCCTCTAGGGGAGGAAGTTAGCAGCGAGGCACAGTTTCATCCCAGTCCTGCTGAGCTGGGGGCAGGAGGGCGGGGCCCAAGACCTGGCACTGCCTCCACAGAGCGGATGACTGAAGGTGCTCACTTTCCCCTCTGGGCCTCAGTTTCCCTACCTGTAAATGGTGACATTGACAAGCCATAATAGTCTGCTTCTCAGGGATCCACCTGGTGTTCCAAGCCCACTGGGTCCATCTCAGCCCAGCGTTCAAGCCCCTCCATAGGCGGCTCCTCCTCATCTCCCTATTTCCTCAACCCCAAGCTCAAGGCCCTCCCTTTGCCCCGAAGGCCCTCTCTCTCCTTCCTACAGTCCCTGTCCCTCCTGCCCATCCTCCAACTCACCTCCCCCAGGAAGTCTACCTTCCCCGGCACCTTGTACCAACCGTTCCTGAAACCCCTAGGTCCCTCTGTACTTGGCATGGGCATCTTGCCTTGCTATTTCCCTTTCTTCTGAATTCCTTTTCTTCTCCCAAAGCTCATAACCTAGTCCTGGGCTCCAAGCGTAGAATCCCAGCCCACAAAGGAGCCTGGTGAGATCACAAAATCTGTTGGTTAAAACAAAAGAAAACAAAAAACTTCTTCTTTAAGCTGAAAACCCCTTCCCAAAAGAAAGCTTGTGGAGAAGGCAGAAGCACCTGACTGGATGTGGTGGGGGGCAGGGTCCTGGCTGTAGCCCCTACCCTAGGGGCCTGGAAGGAGCACCCTGAGGAAGCTCTGCTTTAGTTCAGCCCTCAGTGGCCAAGTAGCGATGCTGATCCCACTGACGCTTCTGGGGACTTTGAATTTCAGAAAGCATCTCTCGTCTCGTTTTTCCCCGGATGGTCCAAGTGTCTGTGATGTAGGTAAGAAAGACCTCATTGCCCCAGCTTCACAGATGACGAAGCTGGGGTTCAGAGGGGCCAGGTGACTCACCCGGAGTTGCACAGCTAGCAGCAGGACTAGGCTGAGAACTCAGTGGGAGGGCAGTGGTTCTTGGTGATGGGTCACTCTCGAGTGCTGCGGCCGTGGCGGTCGGAAGCTCCGCTTGGTCCCTGACCCCTGCTTGGCCTGAGGGCCCAGTGCTGCCCCAGCCCGGGACCAGAGAGAGTTGTGAAAAGAGCCGCCCTCTCCTTGCTCTTCATGAACTTTTAGGAGGTGGGGGCAGCCCCAGACACCTCTCTTCTACCCCTCCCTCCCTCCAGCGGCCCTTCAGGACCCTCCCCAAAAGGTTAATTACCAAATCATCCCATCAAAGGAAGTTGCACTTTTGTGCCTTGACGACCAAGCTGAGCTTCAGCAACATGGTTATTTAAGGTCTCTAATAAGCATTTTCTGGCTGTGATTAACCTTTATGCCAAAGTCACATTGGGATTTGGGATGGCAGCTTCAGTTCCAGCTCACTCTTGGCTGGCCTGTGAGGTGGGGCATGGGCAGCAGCTGGAGCAGGCGGCTGTCAGACTCCACCCCCGCACCCCACCCTCTCCCAGGGATTCTGCACTGCAGGGGCCTAGAATAGGGCTTCCTTCTGTTCTGCTCATCTCTTTTTTCAATGCCCTGCTCTGCCTGGGCCTGGCCACGCCAGAAGGCTGCCGTCCCCCATTCTTGTACTCATAAGACAGATACACAAACAGCCTACTGGCTTGTTATGAGTTGAATTGTGTCCCCCTAAAAGATATGTTGAAGCCTTAAACCCTGGTATCTGTGAATATGGCCTTATTTGGAAATGAGGTCTTTGCAGATGCAATCAGGTTGAGATAGGGTCATATTGGAGTAGGGTGGGCCCTAATCCAATATGACTGGTGTCCTTATAAGAGTAGGAGAAGAGACACAGAGACGCACAGGGCGAATGCCTTATAATGATGGAGGTGGAGATTGGACTGATGCATCTACAAGCCAAGAAATGCCAAGGATTGTGGCCAACCACCAGAAGCTGGAAGAGACGGGGAAAGATCCTCCCTGAGAGCCTTCAGAGAGAGCTTGGCCCTGCCGACACCTTGATTTTGGGCTTCCAGCCTGTAGAACTATGAAAGACTAAATTTCTGTTGGTTCAAGTCACCCAGCTTATAGTAATTCTTCACGGCAGCCTTAGGAAACTGATACATTCCTGAATCCTACCAGTTGCGGTCAAGTGGATTCTGACTCATGGCAACCCCATGTGTGGCGGTTGCCTCTGGGTAGACTTGAACCTCCAATCTTTTGGTTAGCAGCTGAGTGCATGAACCATTTGCACCACCCAGGGATTCGAAAAACGGTCTTTTTCTGCACCTCAATTACCCCAGCTATAAAATGGGGAGGACAAGACCTACCCCATCTGGTGGCGCAGAGGTTAAGAGCTTGGCTGCTCACCAGAAGGTCGGCACTTTGAATTCGCTAGCCGCTCCTTGGAAACTCTCTGGGGCAGTTCTACTCTGTCCTGTAGGGTCACTATGAGTTGGGATCAACTAGACAGCAATGAGTCATGGATTCCACCCCCAACCCCGCCACAAACTTGGTATGTTTGTGGACCCAGATTAAGAACTCTCAGCTTTAGAAGAAAACCAACGACAACTGTGCGCGATAGTTATCTGCTGACCAGATAGAAGACTGGATGTAGTGAATGCTGAAGAGGTGATTAATACTTTTTTTTAAAAAAAAAAAAAAGCAAACCTTTTGCTGTCAAGTTGATTCTGACTCATGGCGACCCATGTGTTATAGAGCAGAACCGCTCCATAGATTTTCTTGGCTGTAATCTTTATAGGAAGAAATCACCAGGTCTTTTTTCCACGGCCCTGCTGGATGGGTTTGAACTGCCAACTTTTAAGTTAGTAGTTGAGTGCAAACCGTTCGTGCCATGCAGGGACCTCACGATTAATATATACTGAGAGGAAAGGAAATGACAGGAAAACTCTGGACTTTTCAAGGAATTGTGATTCAGGAATAAGCCAGAGTTTATAAACATTTCTACAGAGCAAGAGGTGGTGAAGGCACAAATTCTGCCACAGAGCCCGGCCACGGAGCTGACCTTTTTTGAAAGGAAGGTAGTTTTAAGAATTTTAAGAAGCATTTTTCTTGCGTAATGCAAAACTGGTCCCCTGTTGGTAGAAAAGGCCTTTGTGAACCATCAGATCCAGGAAGGAGACATAAGTGTCAGAGCTGAGCAACCAAGAGCAGACACGCCTTTTCCGCATGGCACGTGGTATGGTTTTCTGATGAAGCTCAATTTGCTCTGCTATCTGCGCAGCCCAGGACGTAAAGATGTATGAATGAGAACTCCTGGCCTGGATATTTGCCATCTCATTAGAACTTTGGGTTGTAAACGCTTTGTACTTAGAAGGTTTTCATGCATTCAAGAACAGCCCACTCAGCTCCCGTCCGGAGGCGAGATGAGCAGGCAGAGAGGGTCAGGAGCTGGTTGAATGGACACGGGAAATCTGGGGTGGAAAGCAGGGATGTGCTGTCACAGTATAGGGAGAGCAGCTAGGGTCACACAGCAATGTCTGTGTAAATTTTTGTGTGAGAAACTGACTTGAACTGTAAACTTTCACTTAAAGCACAATTAAAAAAAAAAAAAAATGGCCCATGGCCTTTATCTGTGAGCCTCATGAACACCCAGAGTCCAGCCCATGTACAGAGCGCTTTGGGGACAGGGGACGTGGTGAAGGGGAAACTTGGTTACTTTGCTTTGGAGGGTTGGGGGAAGGTACTGCCAAGGGGAGCCCCTGGAACTGGCTCCTGAGGATTGCAGAGTTCACCAGCTGACGAGTGGGCAGGGCCGAGGAGGGGGCAGAGAACTTTAGGAGCAAAGGTACAGAAACACAAGAAGGATTCGGTGTGCTGGGGAAATGCTAAGTGTTATCAATGTGAATAGACATGATGTGTACTTAAAGGGGATCTGAAAGACCAAAGCACAAAGCGCAGCTTAAGGATTAGATGGATAATGGTAGAATGTTGGGCAGCTGGGCTCATATTTTGGAATAGGGTGTTTCTTGTTTCTTTAATTTGCCTGCGGCTGAGCTGGCCCTGGGAGTGGAAATTGATTGTGTGTGTGTGTGTGTGTGTGCGCGCGCGCGCGCACATGCACACATGTGCTGGGAGATGGCAGAAGCAGAAGTGGGATGAGAAGCTGGGGGCAGGCATTCCTAGTCCCCTCTAGAAGGGGGCCTGGCCATACCAGCGGAGCCGCCCCTGTCTGGGGCAGAGCACAGCACCTGGGCCTGTGCTGGCTGCAGAGCCAAGCAGAGCAGGTTTGTCAGGGAGGACACTTGGCTCTCTACTCAGCTAGCAAAGCCACTGGTTGGCCTGGTGGCTTCCTCCTCTCTCTGCTCCTGCGTTTTCATTTGGAAAATGAGAGTAAAGACACTTCTCCATCTCTCTGGGGACTGTGAGGTTTAATTACTGATTAATAAAGTGTTGGAAGTTCCTCGGGGCCAGAGGGATGAACGAGTTTCTTATCATCACTCCTGAGTTCCAGGAGCCGGTTAGTTCCCCCCAGCACCGTTTGCCAAGCGTCCCGAGTGCGGGGCATGGGATGGGGATGCAGGGGCGGGGGGCCCAGGAGTGAGTCAGAGGGAAGGGACCCTGGGAAGAAAAAGCAGGGGCACAGGGGTGCTGATGATGGAGAGCAACTTCCTGTGCGGCTCCTCGGGCCTCCTGGTTAACCATCCACTCTGCCTTGCTGGGGGCCCCGGCCCCCCCACAGCTCAAATCCACCTCTGTTACCAGCCAGAAGGCGGCTCAGACCTCCCAGGCAGACAGGACAAAGGAAGGAGGGCAAGGAGACTAGAGGAGGTGGGCGCCAGGGGACAGAGGGTCTGGGAAGAGACCGGATGTGTGTGTTGTAGGGGAGAGGGAGGGCAGAAAGCTGCCGGCCAGACTGCCTGCAGCTCCAGCCTAACTGTGCCCTTGTCTCCTTGTGCCCACAGGCCCTCCTCCTCCTGGGGCTGAACCCTGTCTCTGCCTCCCTCCAGGACCAGCACTGCGAGAGCCTGTCCCTGGCTGCCAACATCTCCGGTGAGCACTCCACTCCCTCCTGCAAGATTCCAGCTGACCACAGTGCCCTTCCACGCTTCTGCACTCCACGCCCACCTCCACCCCCACCTCCCAGGGCCTGTGCGCAGAGCGTCGCCTCAAAGCAGGAACGTTGTTAGGTGCTGTGGAGTCGATTTTCGACTCATAGCGACCCCATGTGACAGAGTAGAACTGCCCCCATAGGATTTTCTAGGCTGTAATCTTTACAGGAGCAGATTGCCAGATCTTTCTCCCAAGGAGCGGCTGGGTGGGTTCAAATCACCAACCTTTCGGTTAGCAGTTGAGTGCTTAACTATTGTGCCACCAGGGCTCCTTAAAGCAGGAATAGCAGAGAGATTTCCTCTCTAGGGCTCCAGGCAATTGGTCATGCTTTCATGGAGTGCTGTGTTGAGAAGGATCCTAAAGTTGGGTGTAAGTCTGGGTGGGCTCACACCTGGGGGTCTTTAGGAGGCTGGTTGCCCCTTGGTGATTTATTTTCCTCTTCAAGTCTCTCCTTGATTCAATCCAACTCATTAACTGAGCACCTGCTATGTGGCAGGCCCCATGCCAGGCGCTGGGAGAACAGAGGGTCTCCCCGTCTGGTCCTGGACTCGAGTCCACAGCTGTATATACCATGGGGCAGAGTACAAGAAGCATGCTAGTGGAGAAACAGGTGTGCCAGCAGGGGAGCAAGAGGCACAGATTTCTGAGACTGGGCCTGCGGGGAGAAGGGTCTCCCAGAGCTCAGAGCAGCCACCCCCAGCCCGCTGCTCCTTCACTAGGAGGGTCTGGGAGGAGAGAAACGAGCATGGGACTTGGAGAAGGCAGACTGGGTTTCTGTGCGGGCTCATAGCAAGTGCTCAGTCATGTTTCCTGGTTGTGGGGCTGGGGGTGGGGACTGGTGGTCACAGGGACTTTGAGCCTCACTTTGCCCACCTGTAAAGTGGGAGGGGGTGATACCTGACTTAAGGATCTGTTATGAGATTAAATGCACTAAGTTTTATGGCGGTATTTCACAAAACTGTAGAGTGTTATACCACTGCTGGGTATTATTATTGGTGATGTCAGCAGGCTTATTAAAATGCTTACTGTATAGCTAGAATGAGGGGAAGGCACTTGCCACAAATTTCTCACTACCATGGAGAAGGCAGGGAGGTTAGAATGGGAGTGGTGAAAATCCAGGAAGGCTTCCTGAAGGAGGAGGTTTCAAGGTGACTCTTCAAAGAAACTCTGAGCATGGACTGGCAGAAAGGAGCCAGTGCTCTGAGCAAGGGTTGGCTGAGGACTGGCAGGTGGGTTTGGCAGAAGGATGGGGAAGGTGAAGAGGGAAGAGCAGTAATAAGCCTGGGGAGGTACTGGGAGCCCGGAACATCTGGCTGCAAAGTTGGCTGAGCTGGACCATGGAGAACGTGGGGAAGTTCTTGACCAAGAGAGCCTGGAGTTCTAGTGGAATTGCTGTGGCCGCTGGCCAGCCACGTAATGGCTGGGCCTGGGAGGGAGGGGAGCTGATTCAAGGCTGGCCCGAGAGGATAGGCCCTGCCCCTGCCCCTGCCCCCATGCATTGGAGCCAGGTCAGGCTCAGTGAACTTGCTTGTTGTGCTCCCAGAAGAGTGACATCCCTGAACCCACACAGGTGGCACCTGTCCTTGGAGGCAGCAGGCATTCATTCCCCAGTGATTTATACCATGTGCCCCCCATCCCATCCCAACCTGCCTGCCTTTGTGGCACTCAATGCATCACCCTCCACAGTAGCCTCTGATAACGGCCCATTTGTCCTCCAACGCCAAGACAGATGGAGAAGGTGGGGTGGAGGGGCCAGGACAGATGGATGGGCGTCTGGCCAGGGCAGTTGACACTGAACTGGGGTCTTTAGGGGGCTTCTCACTCGCCTCATGCCAGGAGCAGGGACAAGGTAGGTCCCCAGGGCCAAGTTCCTGTCATGTGGCAGGTCACAGATTTGGCAACTCATTAAACTATGGCATGAGCGTAATAATACCATAAAGTAGTAGAATTATTGACTAAGGGTGTCACAGACAAATGGAAGCATGCAGGTGACAAGGACCTGGGGTCATCCATTCCTACCCCCCAACTTAAGGCAGGGAACGATAATAATAATTATAATAATTAATAATAAAACCAAACATACTGCCGTTGAGTTGATTCCAACTCATAGGGACCCCAAAATGTTTCTAAGGCTGTAAACCTACCTCTACAGAAGCAGACTGCCATATCTTTCTCCTGCGGAGCCACTGCTGGTTTCAAACCAATGACCTTTCAATTAGCAGTTGATCGCTTTAACCACTGCACCACCAGGGCTCCTTTAATTAATAATAGCTAATACTTCTTTCGTGCCCACTATATTGGACACCAGAGCCCTGGTGGCACAGAGGTTAAGAGCTTCAGCTGCAAACCAAATGGTTGGCAGTTCAAATCCACCAGCCACTCCTTGGAAACCCTATGGGGGCAGTTCTACCCTGTCCTATAGGGTCGCTATGAGTCAAAATCAACTCGACAGCAGTGGTGTTGGGGTATATATTGGACACCATTCTAAGAGCTTTAATCTCGTTCAATCATCACGACAAATAGTCAGAAAACATTTTTATCCCCATTTTACAGATGAGGAAACCTGAGGCTCAGAAGGGTTAAGTAACTCGCCCAAGCACACACAGTTTCTAAGCAGTGGCCCAGGATTTGAACCAAGTGGGCCTGAATCTGGAGCCCATGACTTTATCACCACCCATGTTATGTGGCTCCCAGATAGCCATGATGCCCAAGACCCAGCATGGTCAGCCATCAGGAGTACAATGGCTCCCCCTGAAGTCTCCCATACCCATATTGGGTTTGTCCACCATCCCAAATATTTCCTGAGCATCTCTGTGTGCCTGGTGCTGTACTGGGTATTGGGAACACAAAAACGAAGAGCTGATAGGCCTTCAGGACGGCAGGCTCCCACCTGCTTGTCCTGATGTGTTACACTCGCTACAAAGGCATCTTTCTTCTCTGCCCAGCCTAAGAGGAGCAGCTCCACCACACAGTGGTCGGGAAAAGAGCAGGGTGCTCTCCCTGTCCTCTGCCAGCCTCTCTGTGCCAGGTGACATGGCAGGGCCCCTGCCCATTCAGCCCAGCAGCACAGTCCCCTGAATGGTCAGATAGGTGTGTTTCAGAGCTGCCCCTCGGCCACCTGGCTGCTCCCACTCTAGGCAGCCTTGGTTGAGTCCCTCTCCTGGGTTCAAACCAGACGGGGCTGGGCTGTCAGCCACAGGGCGGCCGCCCCATGCCCACCCACCTTGTGGTTCATTCGGGAGGTCCTGATGGGAGACCATCATAAGTGGGACAGGAACCAGGTTCCAGTTTCCCTCTGAGTTATCTACGATGGGAGGATCTGCTGAGTGCATTTGCACCCTATGCATGATGGGAAGGGAACTGGGTAACCTACTTGGGGGAAGAAGCCAGTGCCCACACATGAAATAGGCCACCTTCAGTGGGTTCGTATCTGTTCATTAAAGCAGCCCCCAGGACCCTGACTCAGCAGGGCTTTTTCTGAGGCGGCAGAACCCCTCCACGCCGCTCCTCTCTTCTTTCCCTTGTTTGCAGTGACTCGGGGGAGTCTGACCACGATCTTCCCACACGCAGTTGGAGTGTGGGCCCTGGACATCTGTGGCAGTTGCTCTGTGCAAATGCATTACTTTCTCCCTCTTATCCTCTCCCGGATGAAGGCCTACAGTGACCAGGGCTGGTGAGGGGGTTGATTTCACCCCCATCCCCACCCAGGAAAGACCTTGAGGGAACTAGCTTCCCTATGAATGAGGGTCTAAACCTCTGAGTGACAGGATGTCCACACCTTAGACACACCAAGCACACACCTGCCTCAGGGCCTTTGCACTTGCTGTTCTCTCTGCCTAGAACACTCTTCCTTCAGTTCTGCACATGCCCTGCCCCCGCCCTTCATTTAAGTATCTGATTAAACGGTGGTACTTTTTTTTGGTCGTTGTGTACCATCAAGCTGATCTTCGACTCCTAGAGACCCTATAGGACAGAATAGAACTTTCCCATAGGGTTTCCCAGGCTGTAATCTCTACAGAAATAGATTACCAGGTCTTTTCTCCCACGGAGCCACTGGTTGGGTTTGAACCACCAACTTTTTGGTTAGCAGCCGAGCACTTAACCATTGCGCCCCCAGGGCTCCTTTGTCAGTACTTTAGTGAGCACCAAATTTAAAACAGCACCCCAGCAGTCTTTATCTCTTTGCCCTGTTTATTTTTTCTTCATAGTATTTCCCACTGGTTAAACAGATACATGTGTTTGTTTACTGTCTTTGCCAATAGAATGTAAGTTTATTGGGGAAGGAGGGGGCACTTGTCACCTGCCTGGTTTTGTTGGCTTTGCTTCTCTGTTCTTGCAGCCTCGCCCTCCCTTCCTCCCGTCTTTCACACAGACTTTCATTCCCTCCAGGATTTTCTAGGCCCTTCACGTAAAGGTCACAAGCGCAGCATCAGCTGGCTGCGTTTTCCTCTGCTCTGCCTCCAGGCAGGCAGCCTTCTGGGAGCGTAGGAGCAGGAGGGAAGGAGGGAGGCACTGCCGTGTGTGCAGAGGAACCTGGGGTTGCAGAGATGGGTGGAAGTGAATGCTGGGAGGGGCTCAGGCCAGACTGGGGCCAGCTGTGTTGCATTGGGAAGACCCTGGGCTAGCTACATTAAAAGACCAGCATTCAAAACCTGCTTCTGCCTTAGTATTTGTGTGACTTTGGATAAGGTATTCGACTGCCAGGGCCTCAGTTTTCTCTTCTGTAAAATGGGGGTAATAGCACCTACCTCAAAGGAGCCCTGGTGGCACAATGGTTAAACACTTGGCTGCTAACTGAAAGGTTGACGGTTTGAGCCCACCCAACTGCTGCTCAGGAGAAAGACCTGGCAATCTGCTTCTGTAAAGATTACAGCTTAGAAAACCCTATGGGGCAGTTCTGCTCTGTCACTTGGGGTCGCTATGAGTTGGAATTGACTCAGTGGCACACAACAACAGCACCCATGTCGGCAGGGGGCGTGAGACACACAGTGGGTGGTGTAGTGTGTGCAGGCACACCAGCGCAGGCTCCCATCCTTACCACAGACTAGAGTTGCGCTCTGCCCTGTTCCTCTTCCCCCATCCCCAACAGCTGCGGGTAGGGTCAGGGCTCACTGGCCCTGGGGGCTCTGGGCACTGGCCAGTGGCAGGTCCTCAAGACCAGCAGGCCCATCAGCTCCACGGCCAGTCCCGGCCTCGGCGCTGGCCTAGTCCTGGCTGGGGTTGGTGCCCAGTCCTGCCCTGCCCTCTGTTCTTTACAGAAGGGTATCTGAGAACCATCCAGGGAAGGAGAGAAGGGAGGGAGAAAGGGCAGACACTCCACTGATAGAGTGCTAGGCACCTTTCCAGGCCTTGCCACACATGGCACCCCATTTAATCCCCCACCCCGTGCCTGGCTCTGCACAGATCTGTGAATGAATGAATGAACAACCTACCAAGGAAGGCCTGACGGTGGTGTTGACGCGATGGTCTGTGTAAGGCACCTGGCAGCTGCCTGGCACATTGTTGTTGTTGTTGGGTGCCGTCGAGTCAGTTTCCGATTCATAGCAGCTCTGTATGACAGGGTGGAAGTGCCCCATAGGGTTTTCTAGGCTGCAGTCTTTACTGGAGCAGATTGCCAGGTCTTACTCCTGCAGAGCCGCTGGGTAGGTTCGAACGGCCAACCTTTCATTTAGCAGCTGAGTACTTAACCTGGCAGACAGCACTCAATACTTTAAGAGCTGCCCCCTTCCATGACTGCCCATGCCTTACTGACACACGATGTGGTGTGATAGAATGAGCGCCTGATTTACAATCAGCAACTCCTGGCTATGAGTCTTGGTTCTTTCACTCATCAGCTCATGATCTAGGGCTTTACTTCCCTGGGCCTGTTTCCTTATCTGTAAAAAGGGAATAATAGCATTGCGGGGTGGGTGAGGATCAAACGAAATATATGAGGAAGCATTTTGGAAAAGCAGAGCGTGGTCCATAATATTATTGTTGTTATTAAATACCCTCAAGTCAATTCGGATTCTTAGCAACCCCATTTGACAGAGTAGAACTGCCCTCTAGGGTTTTCTAGGCTGTAATCTTTATGGAAACAGATCGCCAGGTCTTTTCTCGCATGGAGCTGCTGGGTGGGTTTGAACCTCCAACCTTTTGGTTAGCAGCTGAGTGCTTAACCATTTGTGCCACCAGGGCTCCTTATAATATTATTACCACCAACCCCCCTTACTACTACTTGCCTAGCCACCCTCCCGCCCAGGCTCAGCACTCTCAGCATGATTTTGACAGATTAAAATCCCAGCCTGGCATGCCCTTGCCACATATGGCCCTGCTCTCCTCACCCCACCCCCACCCTCCTTCCTAATGTCACTCACGGGCGCTCTCCTGTGGCAGGGCACAGGGCTCACCCACCTAGCCTCCTGGCCCGCCAGCTCCTCTGGTCCATTAAGCCCCAGTCCAGATTTCTTTCTCTTTCAATTAAACCACTTGGCCTCGAGGCCTCAGCCCCTTGAGCCCTGATTTGCACGCACACCCTATGAATAGATTTGATTAGAAGGAAAAACCAGCATTTGGTACAAGACCTTCTCAACACTGCCCTGAGTCCATCAGGGAAAGGAAGCCAATTTAAACCAGTGCCACTTCCAGAGAGATTGGGGGCAGGCTAATTTGGGGAGGAGATGGCAGGCAGCCCCAGCCAGGACTTGGCAGCTGCTAATGCCCAGCCCTGAAGAGCCTCCCCCGTCAGCCCTCCCACCCCCGCCATTGGCTCATGGCTCTCCCCTGGCTGTCTGTGCATCTTCATGCCATTGCCTGGTTATTAACCTTCTTGCATCGTGGTGGGCACACCAGCCCCGCGTAGAAGACAGGCATCACGAGGCAGACACAGGAGAGGTGACAGAACTGTCTTCAGCTCAGTCCTCCCCCTTGGAGCCCACATCCCTCCCACTCTCCCAAGGTGTTACTGTAGGCTCAACCCTGTCCCAACACATACACACATACTCTACCCCCCAAAAGCTCTTTAATTAAGGGCAAATATCTGGAAGGGGCCTTTGACATCCTCTATGGGGTCACCACAAGTTGGAATTAACTCGAGGGCCACCGTTTTTCTTGTTGGTGTCTAGTTCAGCTGCTTACATCCTTGTTGAATCACAAGGAGTCCCTGGGTGGTGCAAATGATTAACACGCTTGGCTAGTAACTGAAAGGTTGAAGGTTCAAGTCCACTCAGAGGCACCTCGAAAGAAAGGCCTGGCAATCTACTTCAGAAAAATCAGCCATTAAAAACCCTATGGAGCACAGTTCTTCTCCGACACACATGGGGTGGCCATGAGTCAGAACTGACTCAATGGCAGCTGGGTCTTTTTTTTTCTTGAGTCAGAGACCCCTTTGAGAATCTAACGAAAGCCAAAAGTCATGGACCCCACTCCTCATTTAAATGCACGTATGCACCAATTTTTCATTTAATTTCAGGGTCTCTATGAATGCCTTGAAGTCTCCAGTGAACTAGGTTAAAACATTTCTGATCTAATCCAACCACTTCAATTTATAAAGAAACTGAGGCCTGGAGAGAGGAAGGGACTTGCCTAAGGTCACAGCAAATTAGTAGCAGAGCCCAGTGTGAAGCCAGGGGTCCAGACGCCCAGTTCAGTGCCCTTTCCACTACCCCCAGATGACGTCTCCCAGCCTTTTCTTTCATGGTCTCCTTCTCAGTCAGACCTCTCCCGGGGCCCAGCACAGACCCGAACACAAACAGTGGGTGTTCAGTAAATGTGGTTATCAGGCCAACTGGAAATTGGACCACTTTATTTAGCTGAAGGGGCAGTGCAGATGTGGTTTGGTTCCAGATCCATGTGACGGGCCTGTCCCAGGAAATACTGTCCCTGTGAAGTCTCAGAGCTCCAGTCTGTCACCAAGTGAGAGGCTGAGAGAAGTGTCCTCAGGCTACAGAGCAGGGGGCTTGAAGCGTGTCTACCTTTCCTCTAAATTCCAGCCAGGGCCTTAGCTTTTAACACCATTTCAAGCCACCTCTGTTCTTCCTGTGCTCTGGAACCCACACTGGCTCCCTGGTGCCATAGTATCAAATTCAGATTCCTTCCTCTGGTGCCTCCTTGGTCTCCGCTGCATAGGATGAGCTCATTTCTGCACTGGAGTCATTGCTCTTGTGCTGGCCCCATTGGTGTGTGAGTGTGGGGTAGTGGGGAAGTGGGCAGGTCATTGGGGTGTCCTCTGTCTTTCTGGGGCAGGGACTTTGCTCTGCCTCACCAGTCATCTCTGTCCGCAGGACTGCAGTGCAATGCATCTGTGGATCTCATTGGCACCTGCTGGCCCCGGAGCCCTGCAGGGCAGTTGGTGGCTCGTCCCTGCCCTGCCTATTTCTACGGTGTCCGCTACAACACCACAAGTAAGGAACAGGGTGGAGGGCCAACCATCTGCTGGGAGGTGAGGCAGAATGGGGAGAACTTGAGACTTGTTGGGGGTTGGGAAGATGATGATGATGATGATGGTGGTAATGCCTCTCGTGGGTACACCCATCATTTACCAAAGGCCCACTCTGTGCTCTGCTAGGCACTCTGTGCTCATTGCTGCTGGTTCTCACAATGCCCCTGAAGACACTGTCAACTCTTACATAACTAAGCCTCTGAGGCTCAGCGTGGATAGGGAACTCACCCAAAGTCACCCAGCTGGGAAATAGTGAAGCTAGAATTAGCATCCGTGTCTGTCTGACACTTTCCTTTGCAGTTGAGAAACTGGTCTGCTTGAACCATAGGACAATCCCATGAGGTAGGGCAGGGATCATTGGAATGGCCCTGACTTTGCAGTTGAGAACCTTGAGCTCAGAGAGGTTATGGAGTCTGCATAGGCCCGCCAGCTAGGAGGTGAGGGACCCAGAGTTTTAGAGCTACTGGTAGGGGGCTTGGCCTTGCATCCCAGGCCCGTGGGTGGAGGAGGTGGGGGAGGATTGACCCCGTCTGTTCTGATACTTGATCCCCAAGTAAACACCTTGCTTGGCTGAGGCCCCCACGCCTTTGGGCTTTGCAGCTCCTTGCTACACCTCCTGCCACCCTCAGAATTAATTTGCTGTCCCCTGTCAATGACTCATGGCCCCTGGTTATCAAAACGCAACAGCTGCATGCCAGGGCCCTGCCCTATCCCAGGGAGGGTGGGGGCTCAGATCCTGGGGGTCAGGGTCTCTTTTGTGGACCCTTGAGTTCTGGGGTGCCTGAGCTCAGAGCCCTGAGAGGGACCCTGGGTGAACATGGACACCAGGCCATTCACTTTGAGACTCACTGACTTACCTCTGGGACATTTTTTTCCCCTCTATGGTCTGGCCTCTCACCTGATGGTCGAGGGGGTTAGATGACATGGCTTCAAGACTTCTTCCAGCTCAAAACTCCCAAATTCCTTCTCTGTCTGATCTCTCCTTTACCAGATAAACTAAGGGTACTAGGACTTGGGGCTAGAGCCAAGGAGGGGTGGGAGGGCCAAACTGGGAGGTGTCTGTGACCCTTCCCGGGAGAACCACTAGGATTGGGCTACAGGCTGGGAGAGCGGCACCGCGCAGCTCACAGCAGCTCGTGTGGGTCTGTAACCCCTGTTCTGGCCACAGGAGAGGCCCAGGGAAGAGCAGAAAGACTGGGAGGGGAGTGAGGACTAAGGAGAGGAAGGAAGGAAGAAGAGAAGGGCCTAAGAGGGCCAAATAATTCAAAGAGGAGAGTTTGTGGGAGCAGAGTCAGGCCAGCCCCCCACTTAGTTGGGCTCATTTTACAATGAGAAAATTGAGGCACAGAGCAGCTGACCGAGGTCACAAAGCCGTCCATGGTGGCTGGGTCAGAACCCCAGGAATCGCGCCCTCCTGCTCCCCCACTCCCTGGGCCACGTGCCGAGTCCTTCTGGAGCTCCCAGGAAGGAGCCAGCACTAGGGCTGGCACATTGGAGGAGGCTTCCAGAAGAAGCCCCCCCACCCCCAAGGGCACCAGGTCCTGTCAATCCCACCTCCAAAGTAATTCTCATGCCTGACACTTCCTGCTCTCTATCCCCGATGCCCGGGTCCAGGCTACCTGCCCCCTCATCCCGGTCTCTTACTCTGGTCTCAGATCTGACCCTGTCAAACCCTTGCTTACAGCCAACCTTTGGGTTGCCTCCTGCCACGTCTGCACTCTGAGTGGGGCCTACTGGGCTCTCTGTGATCAGGACCCTGCCTACCTTTGTAGCCAACCTTGGCCACTCCCCACGAGTTCCTTTCCTTCTTGTCCCAGTCCAGAAGACTTACTTGAGATGCCCCAAATAAGCTTTTCAAGCCCCAGTGCCTGGGCAAGTGCTTCTTGGTTTGCCAGCCCTGCCTTAAACGGAAGCAGGAGTCCCAAGTTCTAGCCCCAGCTCCAGTTAAGGAACCCTCAGCACTGGCCCTCTCTGGGCCTCAATTTCTCCACCTATAGGAGAGGTTGCAGGTTTGGGGGAGGTGCTCTCTGGGCTCCCTTGCTCTTCCCTCTGTTATCCCTGGAGAGGAGCTGGGGATGCTGGTCCCCTTGACATGGGTCAGTGTTTCCAGACAGGGCTGGTGCTCCCCCTTCCCAAGTGCCCCAGCCCAGCGTGCTGAGCAGGATGCCCTGTAATCAGTAGGAAGTGGGAACACTGCGTTGTATCTAATCATTAGTCACTAATTAATTCATTTACTGGTGAGGCAATGCCAGGACTTTGAGGCCTCTCCTTCATGTTCCCCCTCCTGCTGCATCTGATCTTCAAAGGAATGGGAAGTATTTCCAAAAATATCCTTTTTCCCGTGATTCTTCAGGAGGATTGCTCAGCTCAGCAATTAAAGACAAGGAGGTCCATCCTCCCTGCCAGCGACTCCCAGCTTGTTGGGGCCTGTTTGCTTTCATGATCACCTCCTCCCTCCCCATCAAAGCCTGCTCCCTCTGAATAACCCCAGCATGGGATGGGGGACGCAGGCTCCCTGCCCCATACGTGGGATGCCAAGGAGGGCCCAGAGCAAAGAAGGCTCTTCCCATAATTTCCATCTGTACCCTCTTTGATAGAGACAATTGACATGTTCTGAATCTTATGTTAAAAAAAAAAAAAAAACCCAAACCCATTGCCATCGAGTGGATTCTGACTCCTAGCAACCCTATAGGACAGAGTAAACTGCCCTATAGGATTTCCAAGCCTGTAATCTTTACAGAAGCTGACTGCCACACCTTTCTCCCAAAGAGCAGCTGGTGGGTTTGAACCACCAGCCTTTCAGTTAGCAGCCAAACACTTTAACCACTGTGCCACCAGCGCTTCTTCCATAAAGATTACAGCCAAGGAAACCCTATGGAGAAGTTCTACTCTGTAATACATGGGGTCTCCAATGGCAGAGTTTTATCTTGCAGATAAGGAAGCAGAGAGGTTGGGTGACTTGTACAAAGTCACACAGCTAGTAAGAAGTTGTGTCAGGATTTGAACCCAGGCTGTCTGGTCTCAGGACCAAGCTTTTAACCACTACTCTGTACTGCCTTTCTTAAGGCAAGACCCCGCCCCACCTGACCCCGTCTAGCGCTTCTTCTAGCCAATCTCTGCCCCAAGCCCCTTTCCTTGCAGACTTTCCAGAGCAGCCTCTGGTCGCAGTCACTTGCGCCCATGGCACAGACACTGGATTCCCTGGTTCCATCTATAGACCCACCCACCACCTCCCTGGAAACCCAGGCATAGCCTGCAGCCCTCTGCTAGCTTATCCCTCATTAGCAATTTGGAGAGAATCTACAGCATCTTGGCCAAAGGGCTCAACTCTGCCCAAGACTCAAGACTGTGACAGGGAAGCTGGGCAGAACTTTAAAAATCATTTAGCCTGATTCCCCCACTGGCATGCTGCGCAGGAGCAGCCTCTCGGCAGAGGGCCCAGGGAACAGTTAGCAAGGCGGCTGTGTCAGCCTTCCAGCCCCCGAGGTCAGGCGGGACTCCCTGGAGGGGTGAGGAGGGGTGTCTTCATCATCTCTTCATCCCAGTGATGCCTGCCAAGGGGTAGCTCCAGCTGCACAGCCGTGGGGGCCCGGAGGTGTGCCCCTCCTTTAATAAATGGGGAGGGGGAACAAAGGGCCGCGGGCCGAGGTCACTCACCCAGCACCACCGTAGCTGAGCCGGCCAAGCGCCCCAGCTTCTGACTCCCTGCCCAGTGCTCTGCCCCTGTGCCACTCCAGGCTGGGGACCAGGACTCTGGCAGCTTCCCCAGCCCTCCTGCGGCCTCACGGGGGTGCGGATGCGATGCAAGGGTCAGTGGGAGCCACTGAAAGCCCTGCAGCAGGGCTCAGGGCTCAGTTCCTCTTCCGGCCAGAACCGCCAGGAGCCAGGGCCAGGTTTAGCTCAAGGAGACCTGTTCAGACCTCCTGATGCTGAGGAGCGGCGAGCGGTAGAGGGGGGGCAGGATGACCTTGGCCAACACAGGAGGGAAGACTCAGAATTTGGAACTCCCTCAGTTCCTTCCCTGCCAGATTTTGGGGCCCTGCCACCCAAACAGGGGGAAGGAAGGAGAGTGAGAGGGGCCCTTGGGGCAGCTCTGCCGGAGCCCTGAAGCCAGGGCCTATCCCCATCTCCCTAACAGGTGACACGTTCTGGGCTGCAGGAGACCCTACCCCTCTCTGGGCCACTCCCCTGCTCCCACGTGTGCCACGTGCCAGGCTGTAAGCAGTTGTAGCAGATCCAAGGAAAGAGACACCTGCCGTGGGAGATCCACCCCCAGTGACATCCCCAGCACACTCCTGTCACCTGTCATTTTTTGTCCCAAGAGACCTCCACCATGGATGTTCCCACCACAAACCCTCCCACATCAGGCCTGCTCTGGGGAAATACCCTCATGAGGACCTTCTCCAAGACCCGCCTCGTGAGCCCCAGCCTGTGTGAAACCCTGCCACGTGAGACCCGCATAAGGACCGCCCACGGGAAGCATCCACCACGGGTAGTCCCACCGTATGAAACCCTGTCATTTAAATTTGCCACTCGAGCTGTCACCACATACCCTCCCTCTGTACCATGCTCAGCCACGTGAGAATTGACTCATGAGAGCTCCCCATTCATTTTAGCTGCCACGTGAGACCACGACGTGGGAGGTCTCAAATGAGAGCCCACCACGTCATCTGCCATCAAGTAAGGACCTGAAAGGGAACAGCTCAGTGAGCTGGCCAAGCCTGTCCATGGGCCCATCCCATAGGGGTGACTGTGCCAGGCTTGGGTGGGGAGAGCCGGGGCCCCACAGGCAGGGGCTAGTGCAACCACCATACCCAGCTGGGCGCCAGTGGGCAGAAAGAGGCAGGAAGTTGGGGGCAGTAGGGAAGCCTCTCTCCCGAGCTTCATACCAGAGCCCACCAGCAAGACAGGCCCCTCTGCTGGCCCAGGATGGATGGCAAGATGGATGGACGAGGGGACAGACACTCAGGTTGCTCTTCGGGAGAGGAGCCTGTGGATCACTCTGATTCTCTCTTCTTTGTCCAGACAATGGCTACCGTGAGTGCCTGGTCAATGGCAGCTGGGCCACCCGCGTGAACTACTCAGAGTGTCAGGAGATTCTCAACGAGGAGGTGAGGCTGAGCAAGTAGGGTGGCTCAGGGGCCCCAGCACTGGGATGAGCTGGGTCCTTGTTCCTTCCTTCCTTCCCCCCATGCTCACTGGGTGGCCGCATGTGCCCGGCGTGATACTGAGCTGGGGTCACACAAGACATGGATTCTCATCCAGTTTCCACCCCAACTCTCCAGAGAAATACATCAAAGTCCGACCACGGGGTTGTATCAGAATCAGGGACGGGGGTGGAGGTAGCAGTGTAGTTTGAAAAAGCCCTTAGAGGTCCTTTTAAAAATTTAAATGTTTTTGAGTCAAAATGATGTACACAATATACAAAATTGAAAAGGTACAAATGGAAATACAGTGAAAGTCTCCCTGTCACCCCGGTCCCCAGCCACTGGGTTCCCTCCCCAGAGCTCACCATTTTGCCAGTTTCACTAGTGTCCTTGCAGAGATATTCTCTACATATACAGGAAATGGTGTGTGTATGTTCTTTTTTGGTTTTACCCGAATGTTGCATATTACACACACTGGCACCATGCGTGCTTTTCTCATGTAACCATCTATCTCGGAGATTGTTCCATCTCAGTACGTAAAGAGCATCTTTGTTCTTTTTTACATTTGCATAATATCACATTGTACGGATGTACCATAATTTATTTAACCAACCTTTATTCCCAGTCTTCAGTGACTACAAACCGTGCTGCAATGAATAGTCTTTTTAAGGATGACATTTGGCAGATGTGTGAATGTATCTATCCGCCTGGTGTTGCTGCTACCCGCTGCTCCCTGTGTCCTCTCCCCTTCAGTGGGTGCTGAGGAAGGTGGGGGCTGTGAAGCTGGAAGAATGGGTGAGCAGAAAGCAAAAGGCAGAAGGGAGGATGCCCCCCGGACTGTCCAAGGGCCGCAGGCTCCTGAGCAGTGAGGCAGAGGCCTGGTCCAGGCAGTCCCAAGAACTCCAACACCTAAAGGATCTGAGTTGGAAGGGACCTTGGAGACCCTCCATCCAGACATGAGGTTCCCAGACCTGCCTGTTAGTTAGAATTACCCAGAGCACGTGTTCAAATACAGGTTCCAGGGCTGCCCCTAAGACCCAGTAAATCAAAATTGCTAAAGAGGGCCTGGGAATCTGTATTTTTAACAAGTGCCCCAGGGGAGCCTTCTGATGGGGCAAAAGTGAGAAACTTTGATCTAGTGCAACCCATTCATTTTACAAATGGGGAGACTGAAGCCTGGAAAGGGGGAGTGGCTGATGCAAGGTCACATGGGCAGAGTGAGTCAGAGCCTGGAACTGGGGGTTTCTGAGTCCAGGCTCCTCTTTGCCAGGAACCCTGGGAGGCAAGGGTAATGGAGGAAGAACAGCTTTTCCCCATCCATAGCACCCTACCCTGACCCTGAGCTAATGTGCTCTGCTGGCCCCTTCCAGAAGATGCGAAGATAGGGCGTGCTTAGCCTAAAGCTCCCTGCTGGTGCTGCTTCTGGCAGAGTGGGAGTGTTACTCGGGATGCGGGCAAGGGGCTCCCTGGTGTCTCACATCATCCGGGCCAGAACCATGGGGTCCACCCAAGCCGGGCATGGGTTGACCCGGCTTCTCGAGGACCTGACCTGAGCAAAGATAGCCCCCAAGTTCCTAAGCACCCGCCTAGTGAGCCAGCCTGGCAGGTCTTGGGATTGGGGACGAGATGTATCCCCTTGAATGAGGGAAGGAAAGCGAGAATTCCACATTAGCAACCACAGTTGGCCAGAGGAGATGGGTTTGGGTAGGGGTGGCCAGAAGACCACTCAGGTTGGTGGGTAGCCCCTTACATGGCGCATACGAGGGAGCTGGGAGAAAGGGAAACAGGATTTGTGCTCAAAACAGCAGGTCAGTTCTGTCAGCGACTCAGGACCACAGTCGTGCCCAGAGCAGGATGCTAATGGGGGAGGCAGAGCTAGACAAGGAGTCTCAGCCCTCCGTGGCTCTCACCATCTGCTCTGACCGGCCTGCTGAGCCTGCAGAGCCTGAAGCCAGCAATGTAGCTGCGCCTGGAAGTCTCTGCCCTTCTTGGAAATCCGCAAACTAGAGACACCACAGTTGCTCCCAGCCTCCCTCCCTGGATTTGCTCCTGATGGTCAGGGGAATTTCTTCACAGTTCACCCCACTCTCTCCTGCTCTAAGTTAAGTCCCCTTGCCTTCTAGGTGACTGGAGCTTGGGAGGGGGGTGTGGCGGGGGGCACAGCAGCTCTTCCCCCCACCTTCAAAGACTCAAAAACGTTAGGTCAGCTACCTTCATCCTCCCGTTCTGGGACAGGGGTCTCTCCCTTCTCCACCAAGGTTAGGGTGAGAAAGAGGACCTGGGAGCCTCAGCTCCTCACAGTCCCCCTCTTTGGCAGTATCATGGGGACAGACGTTTGGGGCTTGGATTCTGGTCCCAGCACTTAACGAGCTGTGTAACACTGGGCGGGTAACTTAACCTCACTAAATCCCAGCTTCCTTGCCTGTAAAACGGCAGGGAATGATACAAATATCTACCTCCCGGTGGATGGGAGGATGACGCTTGCCTGTGTCTTGGCACGTGGAGGGCACTCCATCCATTCCCCACCCCTCTGTCTCTGTCTCACCTGTGAAGTCAGGGAAGATTGTCATGTACACCTGGAGGGTGGGGGCATTGATGACAAGACCACAGGTAACTCGTCTGCCCCCTTCCTCTGGTTTCTGACGCAGTGGGACTGCCCCCCACACCTCCCCCCGCATGCAGTGACCAGATGCCCGGCGCTGCCCCCCACCTCCACCTGGCCCACCTCTGCCTGGCTTTACCATCCCTTTCTCATCCGCACCTGCCAGCCAGATTGTCTAGCACTCTGGGTAATCGATTAATTTAATTAGTGAAAATCTATCCCCTTCTGCCAGCCCCCAGCCTCACCGGACCCCTGCCTACCCTCAAGACTCCCTTGTCCCTCCTGAAACTGCGCAGAGGAAAGTATCCAATTAGTTGAGCAGCGATTTCTCTACTCACAGGCCTGGGCTATGCCCTAATTAAGCGCCAGTGCCCTGGGGTATTGCACATAATGGATTTGCAGAAATGGCTGCATGTGACATGGGACTTGGCAGGGCACCCTGGAGGTCCCAGGCCTGGTGAGACCTGCTCACCGCTGTCACCACCAGGGGACAGGCCCCAAAATGGGGAGTCTAGGTTGTGTGCTGACCCCCAGCACCACACCCTCACTCCCTGTATCAGCCCCCCATACCCTGTCTCCCTCCACTGCAGATGCTGTCACCAGAGAAGGCCTCTGCTTTCAATCCTGGTTGTCCCTCAAGAAATGCACCCTGGGGACAGGGAAAGGAGGGACTTTAAAGCCAGCCAGACCAGTCAGGCAGACCGGGGTGGCTTGGGCCAATTATTCAGCCTCTTCAGCTGGAAAAACAGGGACGAAAGAACCAGTCTCAGAGGGCACTTGTGAGGATGAAAAGTAATGATGTCAGTAAAGTGCCTGGCCCCGGGCCCAGCATACAGTAGGTGCTCAGTAAGTGACTCCTTCCCAGCCTGAATCCAACGACACGGGCACTATCTGGTGGGGACCATGCAGGGGCGGCAGAGGGCAGTGAAGCCCCCACCACCACAGCTGATCCAGGTGAACCAGGGCCCTGTGAGGAAGCTGGGACGTCTTGCCATTCTAGACTCCACAGATGTTGTTATTACTCCAGGGCTTCTCAGCATGGGCTTGTGGAAAATTTAATAAAAGGAAATTAAGTGCCAGCTCCAGACAGGCTGTGATGTGTGCATATTCTGGAGTTCTGGATTTTGGCATCTGCTACCAGGCTCTTGGAGACCCTCCCCATTTGCATGGGGGTGGTGGATCCCCTCCCTCTCCTTCCCTTCACTTCCCTTCCTTCCCCCTCCACTTCCTTTCCCTTCTGTCCTTTCCACGGCCCTCCCAGTGTCTCTCTCTCCTCCATTTACACCTCCCTAGGGCCTAACCAAGGAGCCCTGGTGATGCAGTGGTTAAGTGCTCGGCTGCTAACTGAAAGGTCAGCAGTTTGACCCAACAGCCACTCCATAGGAGAAAGATCTGGCAGTCTGCTTCTGCAAAGCTTACAGCCTTGGTTCTGCCCCGTCCTATAGGGTTGCTATGAGCTGGAATCGACTTGACAGCAGTGGTTTTGGTTTTGGTTTTGGTTTGGGGCCCAGCCCTTCTGAGGCCCTTTCTGGGATGTCTGCTGGGTGTCCAATCTCTAAAGTGTATCCCTTGTTCTCCGGTAGATGAAATTGGGAAAATCACTGACCTGCCCAGGCCTCAGTTTCCTCATCCGGAAGATGGGTAGAACTGGATTTGATCCTTTAGGGTCCCGCTCTGATTTATGTGGATTCTGTAACTCCCACAGGAAGGTCTGTGGGGAGCCAGGGATGCTTCAGTGGCTCAGAAAGGATGAACAAGACCTTTGAATATTCATCCTTTTCTTGACTTACGCTTTCCTAGGTTTTATACATCACCATCCCCTGGCCCTACCCCACAACCTGGCAAAGGGTAAGGGAGGGAGGTGCTAACAGGGACCCCATTTTCAAAGCCAGTTGCTTCCTCCACCTATTGAGCCCCTCTGAGTGCCAGGCCTGGGTTTCGTGGGCCCTGTTCTCTTGGGACCTAGAAAAGGGTGATGGAGGCTTTGCTCTGGGGCAGGAGTCTGCAAAGAGCTGGGAACGGGGGGCCAGCCAGCCCCCACTTGTGAGATGGGGGCCCACTCGCAGCCTCAGCTGTGCAGGTAAGAGGCGATCTTGAAGTTGGGTGACCGTGGGCAAGTCAACATACCTCCGGGCCTGTTTTTCTGCAAAGTAACTCTTCCAGCTCTTGCCACAGGGTTGCCTTGAGAGTTGGAGAAGAAAACAGATATGAAAATACTCTGTAAATGAGAAAGGCTTCATCACTTCTGAGGCTTAAGTTTGCTGAAAAGAGGAAGACCATGGCATTTTTCAGCCTCCATCAGTATATTCAATGAATTAGGAAGTAAAATTGGGGTATTTTTTACGGTCCAGGGAATGGATCCTGCTCCCTTCCAGCAGACCTTCTGGGCTGGGGGTAGGGAAGGACCTGGGAAGCGAGTTATGGAGTCTAGGGAGATTTTTTTAATGGTTTCTAATGCTGCTGTGGTTGCTAATACACAGCAGCTTCTCCCAGCCCCCTTGGTAATGGGAGCAGCATCAACGGCAGCCAGAGGGCTTCAGGAGCAACCAAGAAAATGGGTGCTCAACTGGGAAATGGGTGGAGGAAAGAAGTCTTAGAGGAGTGACGTCTCTGCACCCATTAGGGCCGCATGCTGTTGGACTGAATGGGAACGTGGGCAGATGTGGGCAGGGGAGCACATCTGAGAGCCGTGCACATGCATATGAGCACGCAGAACGGGAAGCCTGTGCGAGGGAGACACTCAGCTGGTACTTCCACCAGCGACATGCAACCCCAGACAGAGCCTGACAGTCAGAGCCACAGCCTCAAACTAGGCAGCGCTGCTCTAGGGCAATGCTTGGTGCACAGTAGGGCCCAGGGGAGGGGGAGTAAGTGCCGTTAGGGTTGCCTGCTCTGTCTTGCCCACCGATGGGCCATGGGTGGGAGGGAGCCTCACAGGACCTCTGTCCCTTTCTCTTGCCTCAGAAGAAGAGCAAGGTGCACTACCATGTCGCTGTCGTCATCAACTACCTGGGCCACTGCATCTCCCTGGTGGCCCTCCTGGTGGCTTTTGTCCTCTTTCTGCGGCTCAGGTGAGAGGGCTTCAGGTTGCCTCCTCCTGCACCTGGGCCCTTGGGTGGAGCAGAGAAGAAGCTCTGGGGAAAGGTGGCTCCAGGGTGGGACTGCTGTGGAGGCGGAGCCCTGCCCCATCACCTCAGTGGGAGAAGGTGGTATAGATAGGAGTCTCGGTCTTCTGGAACCTCGGGCAGGGCACTTCTGTCCCCTCCCCAGGAATTGCTGGGGGTGGAGAGGTAGGGGGGACAAAGTCCAGGCTTGACTTTTGCCATCCACACCAGGGGAGCTGCACCCACTTGGGATGACTGGGAAGGTGGAGCCCCAGGGATGGGGCTCCATGGAGTGACCCACTTTGGGTTTTAGACTTGCCTGGGGCCCCAGCACTACTGTGAAGGATGCTGATGGCAGTGCAGGCAGGTCTGTGCCAGGAATGGAGAGGGTGGAGGCAGGGCTGAGCATCAAGGCTGGAAGCTGGGACAGAGGCTTCCCGCCAGAGGCTCCCTTAGCTGGTCCCCCAGGCTGGGCAGGAGTGGGATGGATGGGGCCAGCCGAGACACCCTAAGAGGGGCTGCCGTGGAGGGTACATCCCCAGAGATGGTGGTAGGGAGACCAGGAGGGCTCGCAGTTCCTTTGCTGCTGGTCCTCTCTCCAGGGAGCCTAAGTCCCCCCTGCAGAGGGGGGATCTCAGTGTGGTCACCTTGAGAACAACTGGGCCTTGAGGGGGGACTCTGATTCCTGCACGCTCTCCACACTCCAGTGTTCTAAGGTATGGAGTGGAGCAGAGCTGGTCCAGATCCTGACAGACACATCCCAGCTGAGCATCCTCGGGCAGGTTACTCAGCCTCTCTGAGCCTCGGCTTGTTTCTCCATAGCTAGGGAGAATAACGGTCATTCTGTATAGTTGTAAGGATTGTAGAAAAAAATACATGAAACACACTGTAGAAAGTCAGTATTGAATATGTGGCAGCAATTATTATTGATCACACAGTTCTAGTTCATATGTCTTCAGAGACTCCCAAGCCTGGACGTGGCTCTGACCTCAATCCCAGAACTACAGAAAGAGTAGCAGTGCCCATGGGAACAAGGGGGGACCCCAGAGGGTGAGTAGCCCTCAGTCCGTCGGAGGCTGCAGGTAGGAGGGGCCCCTCTGCTGCCACCTCTGTGTGTGACTTGGCCAGTCTGCCCTGCTCTGAGCTTCAGTTTCCCCATCTGTACATCTGGGCTAGAGTGAAGCTGGGGACCTGTCCCTCATCCTCTCTCCCTTCCCCTTGTTCCCATCATCCACTCACCCCTTCTGCCCCCAGGAGCATCTGGTGCCTGAGAAACATCATCCACTGGAACCTCATCTCAGCCTTCATCCTACGCAATGCCATGTGGTTCGTGGTCCAGTTCACCATGAGCCCTGAAGTCCACCAGAGCAACGTGGTGAGTCCTGGCCCGGGGAGGTGGGACAGGGCCAGGCTCAGGGTCAGAGGAAGGGCCCGGGAGGGGTCACCTGTGGGGAGGAGGGGCTGCGGACAGGCCTTGGGGCCCACTGAGCAGGAGGGGATTTCAGAGGGTGCCCCATCCTGCCAAGAGGAGGCCCCAGGGTGGGGTGCTGCCCCTGTCTCTTGCCCCTCAACTTGGCTCACCACTGTCTCCGGTGGTGGTGGGGGTGGCAGGGATGGTGCAGGTTGGTGACAGCTGCCTACAACTACTTCCACGTGACCAACTTCTTCTGGATGTTCGGTGAGGGCTGCTACCTGCACACGGCCATCGTCCTCACCTACTCCACCAGCCGGCTGCACAAGTGGATGTTCATCTGCATCGGCTGGGGTGAGCGGCCCCACGCTGCCCACTCCTCCCCCAGACCCCGGCCAGCGGGCTGGGGGCTGCGAGACCGTGGCGCAGGTTGGGACGGTGGGGTGTGTTCATAGCCCTTTGCCCCTACTTGGGAACATCTTGAAGGAGGCATGTTGGGCCATGGGTGCCCACCTCCAGGCCCTGGTCTGCACTGGGGTCCCCGGGGCCCTCTGTGACAGCGTCATCTCTCCCCCAGGCGTGCCTTTCCCCATCATCGTGGCCTGGGCCATTGGGAAGCTGTACTACGACAATGAGAAGTAAGTCACCTCCTCCTTCGCTGCCCTCTGCTTGAGACTCTCTAAGGGCTTTGGGCCACGTCACCTTCCCTCTTGGTGCCATGGTTTCTGCATCTGTAAAGAGAGGGGCTGGACTCAATCAGAGGCCCCCTGACAGCGCTCCACCTGAGGGGTACTGGGCAGGCAGGCTCCAGGTCTCTTTTCTCTGCCTTGCATATTGGCCTTTCACAAGATGCAGGACTGTGTAAGGGTTATGGGCTGTCTCTGGAGCCAGACTTCCCTGGTTCTGAATCGTGGCTCGATCATTAACTAGCTATGTGACCTTGAGCTGGTTACTGCAACATGCCTCAGTTTCCTCGTCTGTAAAATGGGCATCCTAATAATAGTGCCTACCTCAAAGGGCTGTTCTGCAGGTAACGTGGATTAATATATACTAAGCATTTGGAATAGTGCTTGGCACATAGTAAGCTCTATATAAATATTGTCTATGAATATTAAGACTTATTTTAACAAATGATTCTGTGTATTTAATAAAAATTGAAAACCTCCAGATGATCTCAGTGGCTCCTTCCAGCTCTGAAGTCCTGTGGATGCTTATAAAATGGGCTCAGGTATTCCCATCACCCTCGAAAATGAGATTTCTGCAGTCATTTGCAACCTTAGCTGTACATCAGAATCACCTGGGAAGCCTTAAAAACCGCTGATGCCTGGCCTCCGCCCCCAGAGAGTTGGATGTAATTGGTCGAGGGTGTGGGCTAGGCACCAGGGTTTTTAAAAACTGTGCAGGTGATTCCAATGTGCCGCTGAGATGGAGTGTCACTGAGACGGAGAACGGCTGAGAGAGAGGCGTACGAGGTGGGCGTAGACAGTCTTTTGGCTGCCGGGGGAGGCACCAGGATCTTCTTTGCCAAATATTCCATATTTCCCTGGTGACTCCTTCCTGACTTAGGCCCAGCTGGCTCACACTTCATTTGCACAGCTGCAGAGTGGGGCAAGGTCTGGGAGAGGGGCCAAAGGAGAGACCTGACTGTCGCAAACTGGGGGCCTGGCAGTGATGCCCAGGACAGTGCCTGGGGGCCCAGAACAGGAGCCCTGGGCAGTGGCTCCTGTGCCTCAGGTGTGCAGATGTGCGTGTGGCAGCAGGGGAAGGGTGGAAGAACAAGTTTCAAGAAGGTCTCCTGTGTGTGTGTGTGTGCGCGCGCACGCGCGCGCACGTGCATGGGTGCGTGTCTACCTTAGAGGGAAAAGGATGCAGGAGCAGCAAAAGAAAGTCGGTCAGAGCAGCTCTAAAGCCCCACCTAGTGGTAAAGTAAGCTGGACTATATGAAGAAGAACGTGGTATCAGGATTGGAGGAAGACTCATTAACAACCTGCGATATGCAGATGACACAACCTTGGTTGCTGAAAGCAAAGAGGACTTGAGCACTGATGAAGATCAAAGACTACAGCCTTCAGTATGGATTACACCTCACCATAAAGAAAACAAAAATCCTCACATTGGACCTATAAGCAACATCGTGATAAATGGAGAAAATATTGAAGTTGTCAAGGATTTCATTTTACTTGGATCCACAATCAATGCCCATGGAAACAACAGTCAAGAAATCAAAGGACATACTGCATTGGGTAAATCTGCTGCAAAAGACCTCTTTAAAGTGTTGAAAAGCAAAGATGTCACTCTGAGGACTAAGGTGTGCCTGACCGAAGCCATAATATTTTCCATTGCCTCCTATGCATGCGAAAGCTGGACAATGAATAAGGAAGACCAAAGAAGAACTGATGCCTTTGAATTATGGTGTTGGCGAAGAATATTGACTATACCATGGATGGCCAGAAGAACAAATAAGTCTGTCTTAGAAGTATAGTCAGAGTGCTCCTTGGAAGCGAGGATGGTGAGACTGTCTCCCGTACTTTGGACATGTTATCAGGAGAGTGACCAGTCCCTGGAAAAGGACATCATACTTGGTAAAGTAGAGGGTCAGTGAAAAAGAAGAAGACCCTCAGTGAGATGGATTGACACAGTGGCTGCAACAATGTGCTCAGACATAAGGATAGTGCAGGACTGGGCAATGCTTCATTCTGTTGTACATAGGGTCACTATGAGTCGGAACCGACTCGATGGCACCTGACCACAGCTAACAGTGGTCAAGTGCTGACACTACAGCAGAAGGGAATCAGGTGAGTCCTCAGAACTCATAGACCAGAGGTTGCAACCAGAGGCCCCCAAGGATGGCTGGACCTGGCCCACAGACAGGCTGCGTTTGGTCTGGGCAATGTTTTTTGAACACTTGAATTTGTTGCTAACCTAAAAAATCAATAGGTTTCACATAGAAATATCAGTTTTTGGTTTATGGAAGCATCACAAGATCCAGCTCTTGCGGGTCAGTCCACATATGTGCCTGCCAACTGCTTCTAGGCAGGAGGATGTGGGACTTCTTGTTTGCCCTGTTCCTGCCCACTCCCCAGACCTCTCTGGAGCTTACTGGTGGGGAATTCAGGAAAATGCAAAGTAGTTCTGCCCTCCGGCGGTAGGTGGAACCTGTGGAAGTCTTTACCTTGAGCTTGTTCAGACTGCAATTAAACAGATTCAGGTAGAGATCGCTAACTGTTGGGTGCCCACCACTTGAAGAGTGTGTCCACACCGCCCCGCACCAGCAGGCATGCTGAGCCCAAGCAGGGGCTGAAGGACCCCAAGGGGGAACTGGCGGAAGCAGTAGTGTGTTGGGCCCACACCTGAGGATGAGGATGGTTCACACAGCCTGTTCCCAGGCCACTCTGGTCTTTTCCACAATCCCCGTCCTCGCCACAACTTCCTCTCTCATAATAGAGGATGCTGCCCATTTTGCAGATGGGATAACTGAGGCACAGTGGAGGACTCAAGTGGCTTGGCTGTCTGCCAGGGTTAGAATTGGAGCACCCAGATCCTGGCTTCTGGCCCCAGTCCTGCCCTGGCCCCCCACCTCCTGCCCCATGCCACTGAACTGGACCCAGATAGTTCCCCTTCCCTCACCTTCCTTCTGTGGCCTTCCAGGTGCTGGTTTGGCAAAAGGCCTGGGGTGTACACCGACTACATCTACCAGGGCCCCATGATCTTGGTCTTGCTGGTAAGAACCTGGGGGGTGAGCAGGAGCGAGGGGCACAGTGGAGAGGGACAGTCAGTGCCTGCAGTGGACCTGAAACATCCCTCTGTCTAGTGGTGGGGGCCTCCCAACAAGGGGCTTGGGCCTGGACTGTGCAAGTACTAATGAAGGTAGAGACAAAACTCTGGGAGGGACAGAGACCAGACTGAGAAAGGCGAGTCCAGAACCTGCCCCCACCTCAGTGTCTAGCTCACATACATGCCCACACCATCCCCACTGGTGTGTTCAAATTTCAGATCAATTTTATCTTCCTTTTCAATATCGTCCGCATCCTCATGACCAAACTCCGGGCATCCACCACATCTGAGACCATTCAGTACAGGTAACTGGTTCCCTCCCCCAGGTTCCCACCCATCCCAGCCTCTGGCCCAGGGTCTCCCCATGCCCCCAGGCCTGGAACTCCCTCCTGAAACCCCAGCTCCCCGGTCTCAGACCCAGCCCCACCTGGGTGGGCTGTGACTCTGGGCCTCCCTCCCCCTGCCCCCCAGGAAGGCGGTGAAGGCCACTCTGGTGCTGCTCCCCCTCCTGGGCATCACATACATGCTGTTCTTCGTGAACCCCGGGGAGGATGAGGTCTCCCGGGTCGTCTTCATCTACTTCAACTCCTTCCTGGAGTCCTTCCAGGTACAGCTGCCACCGCTTGCCCTGGCCCCAGCTCCCAAGGGGCCGGATCTGCACCTCTTGGGTGGGAATTCTACCAGGCCAAGGCCTGGAGGAGCAGGAGGCTGGGGAGAGGCAGTGGGTGCCGAAGGCAGTGGGTGGCCTGGTTCCTTGACGGCCTTCTCCCTCCACCCCAGGGCTTCTTCGTGTCTGTGTTCTACTGTTTCCTCAACAGTGAGGTAAGGACCCTCAGGGCCCAGGGCTGGCCCAAGGTAGTCGGAGGCCCGGCTGCTCCGAAGTCCCTAGGGGGATACCTCTAGCGAGTCCCTGTCACCTCTCTGATCTGCTCCTGCTGTGACAACCCACTCCTTGGCTCTCATAGGCAGTTAACAGGGGGGCCAGAAGCAGGGAGTCAGTCTCATCCATGAGTCTGGGATGGGTTGCATATTAAGAAGGGCCAAGCCCTGGGGCAGGGCTTGCATATGGGAACTCTGCTGGCCTGCGTGTGGATTAGAAAAAGACTGCCTTCCTCAGGACACTGAGAGAATCGTCCTAGCAAATATGCAAGTAGACAATGTCAATGATGTGACCGATCCACCTTCTGGGTGGCCCCTATGCACTGCTCACCTGTGCAGGTGCTCATGGGGGTCCTGCAGACCTGACTCAGATGTCACACTCTGTCCTATGCCCACAGGTCCGCTCGGCAATCCGGAAAAGATGGCACCGATGGCAGGACACGCACTCGATCCGTGCTCGGGTGGCCCGTGCCATGTCCATTCCCACCTCCCCTACCCGGGTCAGCTTCCACAGCATCAAGCAGAGCTCGGCCGTCTGAGCTGGAAGGCCTGGAGCAGTTCTCAAGACTGTGTTTGGGGAAGATGATCACCAGGCTCAGCTGGCTACCCTGTCTGCTTTCTCCACCTTCACCGCCAGGCGCAGCTAGCAATGAGAGCCAGGGGGGCTCCCTTCCTGCACCCCTCAGCTGAGCTGGGAGTTCTGGGCTTATAAGAGTGGGTGGAGTCTGGGCCAGGGATGAATGGAAAATAACCAACAGGCCTGGGATGGGCCCAAGGCTTCTGTCTCCCCACTGCCCCAGCCCTCCCTGGAGAACCAGCTGGAAAACTCAGAACAGCACACGGGCCCCTCCAAGAGAGGTGTTTTCCCAGAGCACAAAATGGCCTGCCCACCAGAGACCGGGGACTGTCCTCAGCAACTATGGGAGGCCATCTGCTGCCCCATTGGCATCATGGCAACTCTTGTGACAGTATCCGAACCACCATGATGATGCCTCTGGGAACTGAAGCCATGTGGTCAGAAACCCTGGTGACACCACCAGGTATCAGGTGACATCATCAGACATCAAGCAACACCGCTAGAAATCAGCACTCCCAAGCCACCAAGACTTCATCTGGAACAGCGGCCCTGCCTCCAGAAACGCTCTGCCTCGCTCCCTTGCGCCCTTGGACCTGTACTACACTGCAGGCCTCCCCAGCTCTCCCTCACTAACCCACTGAGCAGTACCCTCACCCCATTCCTGTCGCCTCCCCCTCCTCGGTGTTTCCCCCCTTATGAGAATATGGGTGTGAGTGGGGTGGCCCAGAGCGCACCTCCAACCAAAGCCAGTCTCCCTTTGAGGCGGGCAGAGGATACTTGGACACATCCCACTGGTTTCAGGGGCGACACTGCTGGGTACAGCAAGCTTAGGCACCTCTGGGGCAGGATCATTTGCTTAGCAAAGACAGGAGATAGGGCAGGGCCTCGGCCCTCCCTGCCCAAGTGCCTGGAGCCAGACATGTGGCTCTCTGGTGGCAGTGACCCAGCCAGTGATTGCTGACCTCCACAGTGTGGACTGGCTCAGGCCCACAGGCCCCCATGTCCAGGGCCCTGGACAGCCAAGGTGGGGGTTTCTGCAGGGGCCTGCGACGTCAGGGTACAGGCTGTGAGGGGGACGGCTGATGTAAATAAATACAGTATTTATCTTTTCACCCAGCATTTGTGAAGGCCTGACTGTGCCCAGGGCTGGGTGGAGAGGGGGCCTCAAAGAGGTGCAGGCCATTCTCATCCTCCAGGGGTTCCCAGTGTGGCTGGGAAACCTGATACCACTCACACCTCTCCAACAAGGACAGGATGCTAGCTGAGCCCCTGAGGGCTAGTAGAGGGGGCAAGCGTGGAAGGGACCTAGGAGAAGGGCAGGAGTCTGGCCAGGGTCCACTTAGTTCTTTGTAAGGAGGTGAGTTGCAGCAGAGAAGGGCCGTGGACTAGTGACAAGAGGGAAGGACACAGCCTGAATCAAGGTGTGGCAGTGGGACCAGACAGGGTGCTTCCCAGTCCAGGAGGAGTCAGCTGGGGGCAGGAAGTAAAGTTAGGGGGTGGGGAGGGGGCAGGCCTTGAATGTGTCTTAGTTTGGGTTCCCCAGGGTGGGCCTTGAGACAAGATGTCGAGTGCAAACTCGGGGAAGAGGGGCTCAGGGAGCAGGTGGGGCAGTGAGGCCGGGAAGTGAGGTGGCAGTGAAGGGTGGGTACGCTAGAAGACCCCACTGTGGCAGCTGGAGTGGAGGAAGATGTGGGGAGGAAGAGTGTCCCGAGGGGGCACCAGGACAGAGATCGTCTGACAGCTTCCCGAGCCATCTGAAGGGGAGGGGGAGAAGGGTCCAATAAAGGGTCCTGGCTGATAGGAGGGACTAGAAGTGACCGCTGAACCTTGCGTGGCCACAGTGGAGACATCTTTCTCCACTCTGCCTTTCACCTCCGGAGGAAATGAGAATGCAAACTCTTCCCTGGACACTGGTTGTGTGTGTGTGTGTGTGTGTGTGTGTGGTGTGTGTGTGTGTGTGTGTGTGTGTGTGTGTGTGTGTGTGTGGCGGAGGCAGGGGGTAGAGGTGGCATCCCAAGGATGGAGGTGCCTGAAGGGCTGGGGGACCTCCGTGAGGGGGAGCACAGACGAGGGGTCTTGGAAAGGCCAAGCTGGGGCAGTGGCCTCCTCTTTCCTGCTGTGCCTCCTGGTTGCTTTGCTGACAAGCACCCTCTGAGCATCTGCTGTATGCTAAGCTCAGCTCAGCTCTGCCAGGCCCTGCGTGAGGTGGGAGAGGTGAACAGCCACCCAGGATATAGCCAGGGACCGACTTTGAAGCTCAGACCTGCTGGCTCTGGAACGAAGGTGCTTCTTTCCATCCGAGGATGATTCCAAGGCTGGTGGTCTTTAGAGAAGCTGGGGGTGGGGGTCCGTGGGCAGGCGGGGGCCAGTCCGGGACCCTCCCAATCCAGAAATTCTCAGGGATGAGGGACTGCTCTGGAGCACAGCAGGGTACACCTGGGCCCCAAAGAACTGCAGCATTTAACCCTTTCATGTCAGATGTGTTTTCTAGGTCTCAGAGACCAGTTTCTCAGGGTTCTGTTCTGAGGTTCAGCTTGTGGGTGGGGCGGGGAGAAAGGCCCCGCTGAGGTGGGTGGGAGTGACAGACAAGCAGACACACACTTCACTGTAATGGGGAGGGGCCACGCAGTCGCAGGGTGGGGATCAAGTCCAGAAGAATTTTCCACACCATACCCAGGGGCTGCAGTCCCCTGAAAGTCCGCCTGCCTGAGCCCCTTTCTTCTTGAGACCTTCCTTCACCCCCTGCCCCTCCAGAGGACGGGCCCAGAGCAGCCTCATGGGAAGAACCAAACTGTGAGTGGTTTCCCCTCCCCCAAGTGTGACAGTGTAGCCTCCGCCCTGGGGTCCTCAGTGTCCCCTCCAGGCCTCCTCCTCAGGCCCCTGCTGCGAATGAGTCAGACTCCCTGGGATGAGGACTGAGGAGGGAGGCAGGTCTGAGACCAGGCCTTGGGAAGAAGGGCGGTTTTGGAGTACAGACAATAATATCTTACTTGTGTGTATATGTGTGTTGTTTCGTACGCCACGCAAACACTTTACAACATTTATTATCTACTCCTTAACTATCCCACCAGGTAGAAACCCGCCCATTTTATAGCTGAGATGACTGAGGCTGAAGAGGCTAGGCTAGAACTCAGGACTTCAGCTCCAAGTCCAGGGCTCTCTCCAGCCCCTCTGTTGACTGAAGTCTTTGGGGCTTGGGATTCAGGAGGGCAGGACTGATGAAGCAGCTCTAGGGGAGCGGTGGCAAGGAGGCCTCTGGGTTTCAGAGTGTCTGGTTGAGGACATGTCCCTGGTGATGATGGGACCGGCCCAAAGGTGTCAAGCTGAGTGGGAGCAATGAGGGTATGGCACTTCCACCCTGGCTCTCAGCCAGCCCTTCCCACGCCCCTCTGCTAGTCAAAATGATTCTTAACTTCAAACAGTGTGGCCCAGACCACCCGAAGCCTCTGTGGGCCTCCCCACACCCTGCCCAGCCCTGTGAGGTGCCGCTGGCCTCCAGTTCAGGGGGTCTTTCAGGGTCCTCTCATCTAACCCCTGAGGGGGTTGCTTTCTGCTTCTCAGGAACACCGATGCTACCAGTCACTGATGGAGGGCTTTCTAGGCGCCTGCACTGCTGAGCCCCTTACATGTTAATCTCATCTAATCTTCATACAACCTATGAGGCAGGGGCTGTTATACCCATTTAACAGATGGGCGAAATGAAACCCAGAGAAGTTGGGGGACCTGCCTGAGGGCACCCAGCAGGTGGCACAGCTGGATGAGAACCAAGGTCAGTCTGACCCCACCTCCACGCATTTAGCCACTTGCAACAGGAGCTCGGTGTAAGGTTTCCTCCCAGCCCCACTGTCCCCTCCAAGGCCCTCCGTGCTCCCAATTTGTCAGCTTCCCAGTTTGTGGACAAACATCATTCGAAGCCAAGCTGGATGAATGAGTTAGAGTGTGTGGAGTGTGGGTCTCAGACCTGCCTGGCCCTCTCCTTTCACCCAGCCCAGGCTCTGGTCCAGCCACAGGCTGCCAACCACCCAGTCGCTTCAGGCTTGTCCCTGCTCCATCTAGAAACATTGCCGTCTTCCTCCCCTCGCTCCCCCCAAGTCCAGCAGCCCCTGCAGATCCTGCTGGGAGTCTGGGGCAGAGTCAAGAGAGGGCTGTCGTTGTTGTTAGGTACCGTCGAGTCAATTCCAACTCAGCAACCTCATGTACAACAGAACAAAACACTGCCCAGTCCTGCGCCATCCTCACCATCGTTATGCTTGAGCCCATTGTTGCAGCCACTGTGTCAGTCCATCTCATTGAGAGTCTTCTTCCTTTTTGCTGACCTTCTACTTTACCAAGCATGATGTTCTTCTCCAGGACTGGTCCCTTCTGATAACATATGCTTCTAAGGAGCATTCTGGCTGTACTTCTTCCAAGATAGATTTGTTTGTTCTTCTGGCAGTCCATGGTATATTCATATTTTTTGCCAACACCATAATTCAAAGGCATCAATTCTTCTTCAGTCTTCCTTATTTATTGTCTAGCTTTCACATGCATATGAGGCAATTGAAAATACCATGGCTTGGGTCAGGCGCACTGTAGTCCTCAAGGTGACATCTTTGCTTTTCAACACTTTAAAGAGGCCTTTTGCAGCAGATTTGCCCAATGCAATATGTCCTTTGATATCTTGACTGCTGCTTCCATGGGTGTTGATTGTGGATCCAAGTAAAATGAAATCCTTGACAATGTCAATCTTTTCTCCGTTTATCATGATGTTGCTTATCGGTCCAGTTGTGAGGATTTTTGTTTTCTTATGTGGAGGTGTATGCAATCCATACTGAAGACTGTAGTCTTTGATCTTCAAGTAAGTGCTTCAGGTCCTCTTCTTTTCAGCAAGAGATGGCTGGGCCAGGTCCAATTTCAAAGTTCCCGGTGTGTTGGAAAACCAATGAGATCATTTAGAGATAACTCCAGAAGCTAACTTTGGCCACTAGAGTGCCACTTCACCCCATTCTGCCTCCCAAAGTGTCCTGAGCAGAGCTTCAGCCCAGCCTCATTACTCATTGGACCAAGGAATAAGGGGAGGGGGCAGAGAGCAGGGGCAGGGGCGTGCACATACATCTAAGAGGAGAC